ACCTTTCTTTGCAAAGTTATAGAGTTTACAAGAAAGCCCTAAATTCATTTTTCGTTTTTCTTTCTGTAGCTCTGAGGTGACAATGAACATTTAGGGCTTTTCTTGTAAACTCTACAATTTTGCAAAGAAAGGTCGTGTAGAGCTGGGAGATGCCTTGTTTTAATCAGAAATTTATGGACTACACTTGTGCCTCATTAAGAAAACTTTTGGTTGCTCATCAGAGTTTCTCAAAAACTGGTTTTTTAGAATGAAAACTGCTATTTCGCTCATAACTTGAAAAATTCATAACTCCTCTTAAAAGTAACTTGCGCCCGAACCAACTTAGAGTATATCACCCCTAACTATGCCCTATCTAACCATCATGTCCTCGGTCGAAAAGGTTTTTAGCACCTCGGGTAGTTCCCTCGTCAGTTCAAATCTACTTTTCATCTTCTTCAGCGGCAAGTTAACATAAATTAATCAAGTCAGGAGCGTTCTTCCAAGTAACAAAGACAGATGAGTCATATAATGAATAATTAGACGACACAAACCAAGATCACGATACCTATCGGAAATTCAAATCATTCATAAAGGACAATGTTTACACTGAACCGAAGAGATACATCATACGATATCATATCTATTAGACTTTTAGTGAATTCTGATTATAACTTGTTCGATCGATAAGTTTAAGATGGAAAATACTTCCAAAAAATGTGACACAACAATATATAAATAATAATTGGCTATAATTCAGTTTATATTTCACTTCAAGTGCTCATAGTGGTAGAAAAATAGACGATTTTTTATGAAAAGGAACAGTATTCATCGTGTTTCAGAGTTTTTATTATCTACGATAAACTAAAGAAACAAAAGTTTATAAGTCATCTTCTTGTTTTCAAGCTAGTTCGACATAAACCGATAACTTTTGGAAATCTATAAAAAAACTAACCACGATTGATTAGTAATACACTTCGTTGTTAAATCGAAATAAACTAATCCTGTTATGAACATGGGCAATTATCTCTCCTGAATAGGTTTCTTTTATTACAACAGCAAACATACACGCATACACACGATGAACTTTGTTATAGTAGAAAAAACGAAAGACAACAAAAAAAATGTTCCAGAAAAAGCACACATGCGCGCACAACAACATTGTACAAACAAAATCAACAAAAACAAGTGTTTAAGTTAAAAAATCTACACTTCATTAAGTTCATCGGTTTGCCAAAATTTTCATAGAAATATGAAAACTGAACAAATAAAGTCGAAGAATAAAAATGAGATCACATTATTTAATTTGGTGCTGTTGTTTTCTAATTTAAATCAAAATAAACAGATAAATCAGGCATCTGCTGGTGATGCTGAGCGAGATACACGACGTCCACGGCCTTTAAAAACTGGCGATGCTGATTTGGAATGTGAACGACTTGGTGGCCTGAAAAGAAATCAAAATAAACTCCAAGAAATGTCTAATGACTAACATCTATTTTTGTACACATAAGTCGTCTCAGAGATCTTAGTGGATAGTGTGCGTCATCATAGCGTTGTGTCAAGAGTAGCAACTATTTTCATCATCATTGTCGAACTTATGTCTACAAAACAAAATTAAGACAAAAAAAATACCTTCTTGGTGTTCTTGAACGTTCTTTTCCTCTCGAACCCGATCGACTTGCACGTTTTTTGTTTCCTGGTGAACGTGAATAACTTTTTACACGACGATCACGACTAGAAAAGAAAACAGATTAGAATTATAGAACTCGAGCATTGGTTGCTCGATTGTCAAACTTATTACCTGCGACTTCTTGATCTTGACGTATGTTTATCTCTTCCACGATCATGATCTCGTCGAAATGCTCCTCCTCGTCCATTCGAGCCACCATTATAACGTGATTCTTTTTCTCTTGCTCTCATTTCCGATGGAGCTAGAAAAACAAAATAAAACATTATACATGCCTAAACTACAATTACTAGTATATCAACGTACTTTTCCGATCACCACGAGCAAATTCCACTTCTAATTCGCGTCCTAGTAAACGATAATGATCCAATGCATAAAGAGCTTCTTCGGCATCACGGGCTTCTTCAAATTCAACAAACGCATAGCCTAAACAGAAAAACAAAAAATACATATACATTTGGTACACAAAATACAAAATATCGCTTAGTTCACCCTTTGCATCTCTCGTATAGTAATCTAGAGGTACTGTAATATCAACGATTTTTCCATAACGTGAAAACAAACGTTTCAAATCTTCATATCTAAATAGCAAAAACAGAAGAGTAAATTAAAGTTATTCAAATGTAAGCAAAATGAAAAACTCAAACGGAAAAGTACCTCATCTAAATGAAGATAGAAAAGCACAACAAAACAAAAGCCGTAATGCATACGTCTTGTTTTGATCACAATGGAACAACGGTTGTACACAAAAACAAAATTGTATGGTTTTGTTACATTGTTTTACTTTTCATTGCTGCTGCTGCTGCTTAAGACAAATTGTATTGTGTCTTGTTGTGCGTAGATTGAAAGAACAATTTTTGTAACCTTATATGAAACCCTCTAAGAAAAACTCGTGTGTGCTTTTTTAGTTCTAATAGACACATTACTCCCGATTTATTAATATTGTGTGTACATGATGTCTCGCTAACTTGAAAAATGATACATTTTTGAAAGAACATTTGCTTGTTTGTTGAAATTTTGTATAGAGATAGGATGTTGCCTGTTATTATTTATGAACGACGTTGTATTTTTTTTGTCGTATATTGTAAATATTCTATATGTATTGCTTGAAAACGAGAAACACAGGCTGAGTAAACTGAACTTTTTTTATTGCGTACACTAGTAAAGATAAAGAGTAACCATTGAATTAAAAGTTAAACATACATAGGCAATACAAATATATCATGCAATGTTTAGAACAAACAAAGGCCTAAATCAGAAATTCTTAAATTCTTTCCTGAATTTTGCAAAAGTAATTTAATTCAATTGTAAAAAAGCCTCGCTATTATGAAATATATTTATAAACGAAATAGATAACATATGGTATCTAGTTACGTGAAAATGCAACATGTGTTCTAAAAAGACCCAGAATAAACGTACGCATCATAAGTATCTGCTTACCTAAGTGAGAAAAACTGTGAACAAGACAGAAAATCTTTTTCATCTTAAAAGATAGAACCAACTAAAATATCATTGCTCTAAAACTCTCAGATATTTGTTATTAACGAATTTTCACCTTCACCGGCACATAAAAATTACAAACAAAAATAACAAACTTACCGAGCTCGCTCGCTAACGTTACGAATATATAATGATGCACTGAGATTTCGAGAGTATCGATTCGACATATTTTTCTAATTTTTTCAATGACTTTTCACAGCTGAAGTAGAATTAACAAAGGTTCAGTGGTATTCTTTCTTGAAGAATGAAAGATTGAGAACAATAAGCATAGAAAAACTAATCTTTATATAACCTGCTTTTTTATAGAGGGATGAATAACAGACTGAAAACATGGGAGAAATCATGTATTGTGCATAAGTGCATCGAATATTAAAACTATAATATTTTGAATCCTAGAGTTCTTAGCTCTTTTTAACAATCGTAATCGTCATCACATCTGAATTTCACTACAACAACGATAGGGGACGAAATATTGATTGGTTTGGTTTATCAAACAAAGACAAAATGGTGTTTTGCTTTCTTCCTTTGTTTATTTATTTTATAGGCATTAAAAGAAAATTTAGCTCTGTATTCTACGTAAGTAGTATCTATATGAGGCTGAATAGTATGTTGCCTACGGAGAATCGAAATTCTATAATGCCGTCCAACATTTTTCTCAGCGTTTGTAAGTGGTCGTCGGTAGTTCTGGCTCATCTGGGTGTGATATCAGTTCGACAGAATAAGTAACTTTTGACTTAATAGACCACATGCTATTTTAGAAACAAAATGTCAAAAGCTATGGTTAAAAAAGCGTTAGATCTAGTTAATGACGATGATCTTTTACCATCGAAATCAAATAAGATGTCTGTCATTGGTAAAATTGGTAAAAAATCAAATAAGAAAACACAGTCCAATAGTAATGCGACAATTTGGCAACAATCTTCTAATCATACGGATCAAAAATTAGAAAAGAAAAAGATAATAAAAACATGTTTGACATTGAAAAAGTTAAACAATTCTACTATTACCACTGAATTGATGTCTCAATTGAATGAGTATCGTTTTGGTACCAAACAACAACAAGCAAATAAACAAAAAACACAAAAAGAAGAATCAATATTTACTGATGAAGATTTTAAACGATTTGAACGTGATTATAATCCTGTAGTAATAAAGCGATGAAATAAATTATGTTAACTGATGTTTTTCCTCGTGATGAAATGATGTGTTTAGATGATTTTAAGTCTTCTATTTTTCTTGTCTGTTTTGTACAAACTTTCGATCTACTGGTATCATCTAGTGTTATTTCTTTCTATTTTAGATTTAGTTTCTTCTGTACTGTTTGTGTACAAAATACTAGCGTTTAGAACTTGTTGAATTTACTTCAACAATACAAATAATGGAAAGTAAGTTGATTTTAATATATACTAACTACGTATTAGATATTAACTAGTCACCGATGACTCTTAACTGAAGAATACTTTACGTTCCAGACGTAAATCGAAAAAGCTTGTTAATTGAAGTATGGTGTTTAGAAAAGTTAGGACTTCTTTAGTCTTCAAACTTATATATGTTTGTAATAAGAAATAGTCTTTTGCACGACTAGTAGATTCATCGTCTGTCAGATGTAGAGTCTGAATAGTCTTGACTTATTTATCTATCTATTAGTTTCATTCAGTTGTGTCCATGAAGAAATTAGCGTTCTTTCTTTCTTTTAGCTCCTAAACGTGGTGTAACAAATTCAATCAATGCATCAACAACGCCCTTAAACGAATCGTCAGGTGGTGTAGCATTTGAAGTTTTACTCCAAGAATCACCAAGACAAAATGCCAGTCAAACGTTACGGTTTTTATCTCCTAGTATTCGTGCTAATACAAGCAATAACAATAGTTTTTCGAATGATAATCTACCAAAAGATACATTAACACCAGAAAGTATTAGTGAAAAATTAAAACGTGCTGAAGAACGTCGTTTATCATTAGAAAAATTACGATCAAACTTATTAGCAACAGAAAACAGTAAACCAAATGAAGTAATCAAAATAAAAGATCAACGTCAAGAAGGTAAAATTGACAGTTTTTTTCGTTTTTTATGCTTCTTGATTAATTATTTTTTATTCGATTTCTTTTAGAATTTAAAAAGATGACTGAAGAAAAATTATTGAAGAAATTAGAAACATATAAAGAAAATCGCGAAAATGTTTTGCAATTAAAAATTCAAAATGTGAAAGTTTATGAAGAACAACATTTTCAACAATATCAAAAAAATTTGGATAAATTAGAAGAAGAACGAAAATTATTACAAGAAAAAATTAATCAAAAATTAGAAGTAGCAGAAAATAATCGTCAAGAACAATTAGAAAAATTATTAGAAAAATTAGCTGAACATGACAAAAAAATTGATAAAGCACGAGAAATGATTAAGCACATGTCAGATAATAGTAAAAATGAAGCTATTAATGCTATTGTTACTGTTAGCGATGCAGATGATGATATGATAACAAAATAAAAATAAATAAAACATTCTTAGCCTTCTTTCTTTCGCTTTTATGCAACGAATGATGGGTGAAAAAACTGTCAGATTTTTATTTACTATTTTTTTTTTGATCAGATATTAATGGAGCAATAATATTGGTTTTCTCTTAATTTTTCTTGTATTTCTATTTGTATATTAGAATCAACCCTGTGGTATGACTAATTTTTCGTATGTGTCTATGTTACATGTAGTAGCATTTTATTTTTCCATTTGTGAACAGATCAGAACAAAAAAGATGATGACACCTAATTTTCCACTATTTGTTCCTCTCTTTTCTTTTTCTACTTTTGAATAACAATCAAATAAAGAAATAACTTTTTGATCACCTTATTAAAATATATCAGGACCCTTTTAATTGTAAAACAAGAGTTTTGAGGCAGCACTTATTAACCAAGCATGACAACTTTTTATAATAGAATTTCATCGGTTGTAATACTAGTTTCAGACAGATTTGAGAAAACTGGTTCAGTGTGACATAGAAAATGTGTAGAGCTTGGGAATTTTGAATATCGAAAATTAGCAACCTTTTGAGGTCTGGTTAGAAGGCTTGGTACATCTCTAATTATAGTTGTCTTTCGTCCAGTAAAATCTTGTTTACATTTATATTTCATTTGTTTCTCTAAATGATAGCAAACGAATGCACTGATCACTGGTTAGTATCAATAATATCCACACAAATCTGGCTAATTTTCAATTTCGCAGTAATTTCACGAAAGGCATCTACTTTCAATAGTATGTTGAGCATTAAACGATCAGAGTTAACCAGTCAAATCTTTCGTTTGTGCGAATTCTGTGGCTATTAAGTGTTTATTAAAGAAATAGAGCATGAATTATTTATGACGCTTTTATAGTTTGTTTCTGCTATGAGAATCGGTCATGTATTTTTCTGACTGTACACAATCGGATGTCTTTAGTGATCGATCATTTTTAGTTAAGGATCCCACACCAACAGTGGTATAAGTTCAAACTCAAAAATTAAATTTCCTATTCAGTTTCAAGAAAACTTGCTCTTTGTCCTGACAAGTCCACATTTATAAAATTTGGATTTCAGGTTTACAAAAAGTCAAAACTAAAACATAAATCTACAGTATTTCACCTGGTAAAAAGCTAACTTTCTAAAACTTTAAACGAAAAATACTCCCTGTCCTGCACTTTGGTCAACATCACGCAGCGAAAGTGATGTATCAATCTAGATCTTTTTCTATGAAGATACAGAGTAAGCCAATAGTTTAAGTACCTTAGGAAAAAGTTAAGTTTCTTTCTTACCGTCAGTGCAAAAAAGCTCAAACTATAGAAAACAAGTATTTATAATTATAACATTTATTACTATGTAATTTCATGCTTAGAGCTGTCTCTATAAGAAAGATACGTTGATTGATATGGCGCTGACAGTAAGAAAGAAACTTAACCTTTTCCTAAAATACCTAAACTTTTAGATCACTGTTTACTTTATTATAATAAATATTTTGGTCAGTTGAAAATGAAGAAATGTTTTCCATTGTCAAGCTTACATATTATTCCGAAAAAGACATCATCATTTTTGAAATAGCTAAGTTTTTTAGGTTAAGGAAAAATATAGTTTTTGTTACTGGTATCCTGGTATCCATAGGAAATGAATGTTCAGAATGTATTTCAATTTTCTTCCTGCATTGTCTTTTTTTTTATCATTTCGGCTTGACAACTCAAATAAGTACTTAAAGATAAATTCACTAATAGACTGTCAAATTGTACGTATCGATTCAAAAATAATTAATAAATAATAATAAAAATGTGACTATAAGCGAGCAATACGATTTAGAATTATTTAATTTTATACTCAATCAAAACCAAATAATTTTGTTGTGTATGAATATATAAAACAATTAGATTTTTTGTAGTAGGTTCAAGCCATATCATTGGTAGTCGTATATTTCAAATAAGTTCATTTTCTTAGTTATCTTATTATCGAAATCGCATTGGACCTCATTAATTTATTATTATGAGACCGATTATTCTGTGCCTAAAATCTTACTTTTGATGTATATCCTAGTCGCAAGTATCGGAAACGTCTCGAAGAATTCTTGTTGTCACGAGATTTTATCAAAGATATCTTAAAAGATTAACTAAATTTCTGCCGCCGAAATCTCGTTTACGAGAAGCATGCACCACTTTGTTTTGTCAAGTTACATTATAAGAGAGAAATACGGATTTTTGAAAATTCTTTTGTCATTATCGAGTCATTACAAGAAGGTCAGTTTACAATAGCCTCGATCATTACTTGAAAAAAAGCGTGATTTAGATAGATAGATTTATTTTACATAAAGGTAGGATATAAAAATAAAATAAAAATACCTGAATGTTAATATAAAATTCCAGAACCCCCATGAGAAAGTGCTACCGATATTATGAGCTAGGGTACTTCGCTACTCTATCAAACAAACTGCAAGCTTAGAAAACCATAGTCCTTTTGTACACATACTGGAAAGGTTATAAGGTCACATTATCACACACACACCAAAAACGACATTTAAATTTTATTCGTTTCTGTTATATTACGATACTGATTTCAAAGTCAGATGATTTGGACCAAATTTGTGTGGTTTCGTTCTCCAAATTGTTTATTACTCACTTTTGTCAGTTTGTTTGTTCAGCTCGTGTTATTATTGTATATAATCGTACTTAGTTACTTTTTCGTGTTTCTATGTTGTGCTTTAGTCATCATTTTGATGACTAAAATCGTTCACATTTACAGCATATTGTATGGTTAATAGTTAAAAACATGCAATAATAGACATATTTTCCTTAAAGTCAAATTTCAGAATATAGTATACGTTTAATGCCTATAATCACAGAGCTACAATTAATAACTGTGTAAGTTTATTAATTCCATTTTTGTTGTAATATAACAGTTTAGTCTTTTCTTCCTGTCAACGTACTCAATTCACCGTTGCTCTTTAAACTCAGCTTCGATCAATAGTATGTGCTTTTTCAGTATAGAACATATTTCTACGTTTAAAGTGAATTATTCATATTCTATCGTCTATTCAACTTCTATAATATAAATCGTATAGAATATTCGACTGTAGAGATTATACATTCACTTGAAAATATAGAAAAGTAATGAGAAAAAAGAAACTAATGTCATCATATGTCAGTTTTCTTTTTTCTTTTTTCTTATTTATAGTATAAAACATTTCACAATCATGTTTTGAATAAAGAAGTGAATTCAAATATAAATTTCAAGAAATTCTAAGGTTTTTTTGCTTTTTATAATCATACAGAAAAAAAATGTGTATTCTAACAGTTCATTTCGATATCTGCTATTATATAATTCTTTAATTTTATTTTAGATAATAATGTCTGTATATAAATTAGTTGATTTAAGTGAATATTGTATTGCAAAATATTTTGAACAAATTGTTCGTGATCAGTTGACAACAATTCGTCTATTACCAGTTAATTTAAAAGTTCGTCTGTTTTTTCTATTAACTCAACGTGGTCTCATTGATGATTCGAATATTCTTGTATTATTAAATAGTCGTACTCAAGTATTCGATTTTCATGATTGTCATATAACCGATGAAACATTATCAATTATGTCAAAATGTAGTTTAAATTCACAAATTGAACGTCAACGACAAATATCAACAACAATTGATCATCAAACAATGCCTGTTCTTAATCCAACTGTTGTATATATAAATGATAGGATAAGTGATGATGGATGGATTAAATTTATTCATGAATATCTTAATTTGAGAAAAATACATTTGAACAATTGTCCATTGATAACAGATAAAAGTTTATATTCAATTGGTCAATGTTGTCATCGTTTAATAGAATTAGATTTAAATGGTTGTATGAATATTAGTGATGAGGGTATTAAAGAATTAAAATGTTTACTTCATATCAAATCTCTGGGATTAGCGCAAACATCAATTACTGATATGGCTTTATATTCAATAGGACAAGCTTCATTTAAACATATGTTACAAGAAATTAATGTTAAACAATGTCAAAATATAACGGATGATGGTTTCATGTACCTATTGAGCAATTGTCCAAATTTACGTACCATTGGATTTCTACATTGTCCAAAATTAACTGAACTATCACGACAAAGTTTAGGACCACATACGCATCAATTTTCTTATGTAGTATGGTCAATTCCAGTTTAACAATCGAAACTCTTTTCCATACTTTTATTTCTTATTGTTTTAACTTCTTAATTATGAGAATAAAGACTTGTGTAATCGAACGAAACATTATCAACAATCTCTTTCTTTTCAAACAATTAGGTGAAGATAAATGATATACGATAGCGGACAAAAGGCTCTGAAAGGTTTGTATTCTTAAAGAGAACTATTTGAGCAGTCCTTTTGAACTGTACACATTTAACTATCTTGCCAATGAAAATTATTTTTGATTGTTTAAGTACCATACCACTTGGTCATATTTTTCTTGCTTTGTACGTTGAAAGCCATGGACAGATATTGTCTATATTTTCTCGAACTGTACCTGTGGAAGAATGAGTTGTTATTTGATCCGAGAATGATAATAACCATAAGTTTTCTCATTGTATGCTAAACTTTATATTTAACGTTTTTTGTATGTTTCATTAGTAATGAAGTAATACAAAGTCTAAAGTCTTCTGCTCTATTTTTATTTCGATAGTACATTTCATTTTATTTTTTGAAATTCATTTATTCATTTTGACTACATTCTGTTATTGAAAAATTGTTAAAAAAATCTTGTACTCTGGCATTAAAATATTTAAAGAGTTTGGAAATGCTGATAATTACAACTTTATTCATTTGTTCTTTTTGACTTCAAATATTTTGTCTGAACATCATTTGAGCCGACAATAACAGATGATCATCTTTCTAGATAGACATAATAAAACAGTGAACGAAACATATATTTATTGTAACTAAACATGGTAAAAATAACACATAGAACAACAGCCTGTCTCGTGTAACGAGCAACATTTTGATCATGATAGTTTGGAACAATCTTGTCCCCGGTCATTTAATTGCTTATAATGAATTAATAACATCAAATGTTTTAATTGATGTAGAAATCCAAACAAGTAGAGTATTTCTGAGGGACGTGTTACCACAACGAACACCGCCTACCTACTTGTTACGTGCTCGTGGCAGTAGCCACCAGTTTTGCATACTAGACTGTTCGTACTGCAATGTAGTTTTATCCCTCCCACCATTACACTGTGAAATACATTATCAATTGCGATCCATAGCTCATCTAATTTTAATTCTAATTTTCAGCTACATTTAAATTTAAAATAAAACAACTCTATGTTTAAAAAGTTAAAATACCATCGACAACTGATAAGAATTTGATCTCTTTCATTTTTGTTTAGGAATCAGTGAGCTTAATAAAGATCTTGGAAGTTGAAATATCATCACTAATTCAGAGTGTGACTGTGGATATCATTCCGCTTCTGTTTCTCATTATTCTAAATATATTCTGCAGAGATCAGGCTTACTTAATTCTTTTAAAGCAGCTCTTTCCAGTACCATAAGCACACTGATCATGTATCTATTATTTAAACATTTGTCTGTTTGTTTGTGAAGAGCTTTACTTTAACAGAACGAGCGCGATCGGTTCACCTCTAAGGTGCTCACAGCCAGGAAACAGAGTCATTACAATGAAAGCTTAGCCCTATGCGAACGAACTACAGTGTTACTGAGAGAAAACAAAATTATCAAATAATGCGGGTGTGGGGTTATCGGCCAAGTCGTTGACGTAAAGGTGTGATTCGTTGGAGTTGTGAAATATTGTCGACAAGTGATAATGGTTGACTATATACACTTTTGGTCCGAAAAACTTCGCTGATGAATTCTAGGACAGATATCGATTTCATTCAGTTAAATAAAGAGATATGTGATAAATGAAAAGTACCGAGACTATAAAGGCCATTTCGTATACAAAATTTTGTTGATGAGTTACTGTCGTTTGTGTTTACAATCAAATTCTCTATAAATTGGCTCCTCAGCATGACTGAATGTTTTGCGAATAGTTTAACTGCTAATAAACAGCAACATCGATTTCATTTGATAATTGTCCATTAACATTAATTGTGACTGTTTTTCCTTTAAAGTAGTTGACAATCCAAAATAGATAAGCAAAATATGCTATATATAAAATTACACCAACTACACTATCCGTGTAGTTGATGTAATTTTATACATAGCATGTCAAATGCTTGTTTAAAATCAATGTATATCACGGGTGTGAATGATTTATATCTAACAGATTGTGTGATTTGTTTGACGAGATGCTTTACGCTTGTTGCTGTTAATAGGTGGAAATGAGAACCAGATTGCTGATAGAGTAAGATGTTTTGTTGATTAATCCAATTAATAACAAAAATAGTCTCTTGATTGCTTCCATGCGAGTTCCCACTACATTTGTTGTATAGTTTGTTAAATCATCTTATCGGTTAAAATATCTCTGGGATTGCTTTTACCATTTTATTTGATATCTTGATATCTGATAAAAACTCAAATGAATTTTTTGTATTCATTTTTCCTACAGCTGTTTTTAATTCTTTACAATTAAATTTCAGATCTGAACTTGAGCATATTTGCTCTATATCATTTTTATTCAACTGTAAGAAACTGATTCCAAAGTTTGATTGCCACCTTATCGATCTCATTGTTTGAATGCAATAGCGGAGGTAAGAACATTGTAGTGAAATGGTTGTGCAGATAGGAAGGAATTTAAGATGGCGTGATACATGATCCTATTTTTGGTGATGGCTATAAAATTATACTTCTTGCTGTTTAAGCACTTGATAGTTTTCGAGTAGGTATGTGGATTAGGTAATATTACATCTGAAATGAATTATGTGATGATTTTGATAGTAGACTCTTATGGTGTACACTCGATCAACTTGTGTGCCCATGAATAATGTACATCAACCAAAAGCAATTATGGTTAGTAAAAAGCGATGGTGAATAATAATTCAATGTAATGATCCAAATATTTTTTCAAAAATTGTCATTTTTTTCAATTGTGATATCGATCGCTAGTTTTTTCTAACATAATATAGATTTCAAAATTTTTTTTTATAAATTTTATTGTCAATATCTTTTGCACTTGACGTTTTTTTACTCAACTGACTTTTATACTTTTGAGTAATGTTTATCTGGATGAATACATGAATACAATGTAAAAAAGTATGGGTATGTGGGTTAAAACAAGCTCAATATGTGAAAATAGTAAGATGCTTAAATACACACGATAATCTGGAGAAAAGTATCAAGATAAATCTTTGTTCCCATTATATTCCTAAAATTACAGAAAAGACAAAGAGAAAAGTCAAAAATATAGTTGAATTTCTTTAAAATTCTCTCTTCCTCAAATTTTATCATACCACATGATTATGTGAAATACTCATGACTGAAATCTGTCAAATAAACAGTAGAACACTGATGTTTTCATTTAACATGAATATTTCGTTTTTAATCATCGCTTACGCCAATCAGAAATTTCGGATACGATTATGCTAATAGAAACGTTGTATTATACCCGCACAATTTTATTTCTTATTTTTGTTGATATTTATAAAAAAATAGTTTATTTTAGTAATTAAATAGAATTAAAAAAATATCTATATACAAAGAGTTGCATGAATAATAATGAAAAAATATGATATTTACAAATTGTTTATGAAATGAGGAGTCTAGCGAAAAATACATATGTAAAAAGAAAACAAAAGTTGTTGGCTCAAAAGTATATTATTTCTTTTATTAATGGCATAACTGACTAAGCGCATATATTTTATTGACTGATGAGATCACCGGCAAACTAATATCACTATCAAGATGAAAACAAAATAACACAATTTATAGCCGATTATTTACAATTAGAAAGATGATTTTTAGCTGTTTTTTTTTTTTGTCAATGAGGTAGAAATAAATGTCAAAAATGAAATCATCATTCTATTCGACTAGTTAATTAAACTCGATAAAAGAAAATGCAAGGATTAAAATGAAAAAAAAAAATTAAATCAATCATCAATTTATATCATATTTTATCTAAACAAAAGAACTTTCTTCATACTCATTATCATCATTTAACCATGGATGTTTTAATAATGTTCTTAATCCATATTTTCGACTTATTACTGCACGTCTAAAATCCCAATAGGATTTTGTTGTAAATAATTGTAAAACTTTTGGAGTACGATCAAAAAGATTTTGTATAGAACGTAATAAAGTTTCATCTTTGTCATTTTCTTCATTTGCTTGAACATTTGACCAGCCAAAATCGATAAATGTCATTAATGATTGATTTAATGATATATCTGAATAATTACTATTACGACGACTATTATTCATACTAAAATATCCATCTTCATTACCATTATCATATTGATAATTATACGAATATTTTGTTAATTTTGATCGTTCACTAATAAAATCATAAAATTTATAAAAATAATTATTTGTATTTAAATCAAAATGAATTAAATGATGATTAAGTAATGTGACTATATTTGATATGAATAATTTAACAAATTGTTTAGCATCTATTTCATTTAAATAGATAAAATCTGTTCGTACAAGATTTTCCCAAACTGTTTGACCTTCAACATATTCAAATGCAATAACATAACAATCATATTCTGGTAAATGTTTTGCACCATTTTCAATACATCGATTAATTGGTAATGTTTGACATAATCTACCCAATTCTCCAACATATTGTTCAATTGGTACATATTTATCATCTATATTTTTAATACAACGATTATAAATAACATCTTTTGGCATATAATTATAATTTTGTAATGTTTGTAATGTTAAAAGATCATTTCGAGATACATAACTATCAATATAATAATTATTTATAAATTTTAATGCTACTAAACGATTATAATTCCATAAATCATAGGCATAAAATACTTGACATGTTGAACCAGTTTTTCTATCATGTTCAAAACTTAATTGAAAACGTTCCAAGCCAACTTGATCAAGAATGGCTTGGATATCGTTAATATTAAAATTATTACGTATTTTTAATAATTTAAATGATTCCAAGTTATTAAAAAATCATTCATTCAAGACTTGTAAAGATGATATTTTATTCTGACACTGTATATTGTTGACTGTAATTTTTATATTTATTATAAATATAGAGGTAAAAAAAAAAGAAGAAAATATCTGAAAAGGTAAATTCCATAAGTTATTTCTTCCCGTCTTGTCATTATTTATACATCAAAATTCCTTTCCTAGGCATAAAAATACAAATGTAATTCTTTTGTTTTTTTTCAATTTATATAATTTTTTTTTGTTTTTTTCTTCCTTCTTCACTTCTACTTCTATAATGTCATCATCTCATAAAGGTTATCATTCATCTCTTTAATGTGATTACTATATGAGTTTTTGATTTTAATCTATAATTATTTAACGGTCACTTTATTAACAATTACTCTTTTCTTTTTTTATTTTGTTTTCTTTTACTATTTTTCTAAAGGTATACTATTATAAATGTGATTGTCTAGTTTGAAAAACAAGTAGTTAATAATTAGAAGAAGAAAAGAAAATACCATTAGAATGACGAATTTTAAACAAAATAAAAAATAAAATAAAATAAAATTAATAAACACTGATATAACTGAAAAATAAGAGTAAAGATTGTCCTTGATGAGAAAAATAATAAACAATAACTTTTTTTATAATGTTTTTTTTAGATGAAATTCTATACTATCATTTTATTTGATAAATCTCTATTACAATGATGATGTTGACAAATTGAATAAATTTATTTAATATGGGTTTAGAATGTCTATTAAGAACGAAATAAAACGTTGTCTTTGTACTTGTCATTTCGGTGCAATCTGTTACCATAATAATTAATCTATTAGTACAAGAAAAGGAAAAGAATGAAAAGAATGTATTTTATCATCAAATTTATTAATAGAGAAATGATCAGTAGATAATTTAGTAGAAAATAATCAAAATTATCTTCTACTTTTGATCACTAAACACTTTAATTAATCGAATGAGAGAAAAATGCTCATGAAACAGGCAACTTTCGATCCAAATTATTCTGTCAATATAGAACAGTTATAAATAAATGTCAATAAGTTATACACATACATCACCTAAGAGATGTCGAAATAAGAATAGAAAGTTTCGTACAAACATCGTACCAAAATTGTACAATGAAGCCAAAGTATTAAAAAAAAAATCTCAATTAATTCGATTCGATATTAAAAATCATAGATAAAATAAGTCGTTTAAATGTAGTAAGTACAGAAAGTCGTATTTGTATTTATTTAATATGAAAATAACTATGACAATTATTGATTCAAATTCAGAGACGATTAGACTCAGATATGTATAGTACAAGAAGAACACGCTATTCAACAACAACATATTTACCATCATTAGTTAGAATTCAATATTAGGATAAATGATAAACAAATTTATACATCTCGAAATAAACTGCATTTTATCTGTTTTTCTATCAAAAATTGAATAGACATTAACAATATAATCAGAGGTCAGTAACATTTAATTCCAGATTTGATCTTATAGTCTAAAACGGAACTAAATGTTTACAAATAATCAAAAAGTATAATATTTTACTTCATCCCTGATAAAGCTCGATATAAATCACTCGATGAATGACAAGGTAAAATTTGTCCAAAAAAAAAGAAGTATGCATAATATTATAACGATAAAGATCCTTTTCTTTTTATGTACTGTAAATATCTTCATATTCTTTTTTTCCTATTTTGTGAATATTTCCTTAATATTCACTTGTCCATTAAAACGATAGATACCCGAAAGGAATAAATCTAAGTATATTTAATATAGAAGTTATATCATTTTCGTTCGAATCAAAAATTTGTATATCAGACTAATAGAATGTCAATGATTATAGACTGTACGTACCTGTATAAGAAATAAAATATTTTATCAATTTATGATTTTTAAGTTAGTTTAAAAATTTAACGTTTATATTTTACTATTTTTTTATTAATCCAGAATTGCAGAGGAGGATTTTTGTTTGTCCAATGAACCCTAAAACTTGAAAACTGATAAGAACAGATGTTTTCTTTCTATTTTTTAATTTATTTTTATTTTTTTTACTCTTTAGTTTCAACAACAAAAAGAAAAAACGATCTATATAGATCTATGAATTTTATTTTATTTTTTTCTACATTCCTTGGCATCAGCTGATTATATACATCCACGTAAAAGAAACTCACATATATATATAGTATATCAATTACTTTATACTCTTTTTTCGTTTCTCTTTTTGTTTTTTCTTTTTTTTTTTTTTAGCATCGAACAAAACAAAATAGTTTAAATAATTGACATTTTTTTCGGTTGAAAACAATTTAATCAAGTTTATACACATATATATATTTCAATGAAATAATAAAATCTGTTCGAATCATGAATTTTTTATGCTTCTATGACATATGTTGTATATCCAGAAGATGAAAAGAAAATATTTTTATAATAAAAAAAAAAATAACATTTAGATATAATTTTTTCGGAGTTGAACAATAGGTCACGTACAGGGTCATTATTGAGATTTGTTTTTTTTAGTTACACTAATGAAGTCTAATTGAGATCTTGTTAACTTTGTCTGAATTTTTTGTTAGATTTTACATGTCAATATTAAACAAAAGAAGATTTGAGACAAAGAAGGCGGATTAAATAATAATAATAATACATGAATTGAAATGAGATGGATGAATAACATCTCATCTCCTCTACACATTTTGTTCAATACAAATTTGTAAAACAAATTGTCGTTAATTCAGATTGATCCTGTCGGTTTTAGATAACGTTTACTAAATAATAAAACCTACTTGAACTAGATAAAGTAACATTTTCTTCGTTATACGTTGAAATTTTAAATGCAACGTGTGTGGAACATCGAACAATATACATTTATTTAATTAAAGAAATATATCATTAATCACAGAGAAGTACACATATTATCGAAAAAAGGACAAACAAAACAAAATGTCAGCTTGTGTAAAAAGAAAAAAAGATGAGAAATTATTTTAGGTTTGGAAAACCATTTGATTTTACAAGGTTCATCATATAAAATAAAGTAAAAAGTTAGATAGAAAACAAATGTGTGCAAGCTAAAACAGAATTATATTGTCAAAGATTATCTTTTCAATCATGATTTAAACAATTGAAAATTGAAGTCAAAATCTTATTGTTTTTTATTTTTGAGACTTTATAGTGAAGAAAGAATTGTATGTAGATTTAAACATGATGAAGAGAAGAGAACATCATCTCAATTATTTTCTCACTCTTTTAATGACGTAAAAATTTTTGTTGCTTATTTAGGTGTCAATTAGAAATTTCTACATTCATTTCGGACTGTATATGGCTTCGTAAGAACTCATGGACCTCTAGATTATCGAATTTGTAATCAGTAAATAAGTGACAAAAATGAATACATCATTAAAAGAGCAAGAGAGAACAACTGCACGGTTTGGGATATTATTCATAATGAGAGCTTCTCAGTAAGTTGAGCATAACAAAAATATACAAGAATGATCATATTAGAATAAGATATGAATGCTGCTATCATTAAAATATCTTCGAACAATATATATATACGGACAACAATTTCCATGTATTTTAACTCATGATAAACATGACAAATTCACTTCTTTAATACCAGTATCCGGATCTAAACCCACACCAAATATTGGCAATAATTTTCGAAAACATCTGAAGAAAACAAACAAGAGCAATTATAAAAACACATGTAACCTATCTATCAATAGTACAAGAACATATAATTTAAGAAAATGCTTCTTCACTCTACCCAGTCGGTCTGTACTTATCTTGATCTTTCATATAGCTGTCACACTTATTATTTAAAAACAAAAAGTATTTCTTAAACTGAAAAAAAAAGAATTTAAACCTACTTGATTCTTATTGGTGATGAATTGTGAGGATTGAAATCGAGATTCCATAGGCAATAGCTTTTTTTTTTTCGCATCAAATCGGTAATGGATGGTGGTGGTCTTGACACATTATAATCCATACTGTGTCCATTTTTGTCGTTTGTGGACTGTTGGACAGTAGATAACATCGACAAATCTTGCTGTGATGATGATTTTTCCATTTTTGATATTGAGTTACTACCACCAAATAAATTGAGCAATGACTAAAACGAAATAGACTTGCTAAGATCTACCTTAATTTTAGTACTAGAAAGCAATACATACTCTTGCCGGTTTTAGTGTCCCTCCTGATCGACGATTATTTCTCTTCTGATTATCATTGTCTTCGGAGTAATCGCCTTTGGCACTGGAAGGACGTGGAAGCGGTAATTTTGGATTATTTTTACGTTTTTTGGATCTTAATGATTTAAATATATTACTATTCCTAAGCCGTGAGAGAGATGTAGTCGATCCAAACTGTTCTTTTTGTGTATTATGTAGTTGTGTCTGTTGAGGTGTCTCTTCTTCATCTTCGTCTTGTTCGACAGTAAAATGTGACACATCCATACTCTTTGACGTAAGTAATGAGGGATTGCATTGAGCAGGAGGAGATGGTGTTTCATCATCGGCTAAACGATGACGACGATGATGGCGACGAATGTTAGGTGCCGGTGAACTGGGTGGACGTGGTTCAATAAACGATAGTGATGAATTTGGATGGTTTCTGATGTTATTATCGTTCTCATTCTCTGACTCGCTGGATGAATTATAAATAGTTTCACGATTATTTTCATTCTCACAATTTTCATTTTCAAAACATGTGGATTTTATTTCCATTTCAACTTCTTTCACTTTAATTATTTCTGTAAATGGAAATTCGAACTGAAACAATAAAAGAGTATTTATTAAACACTAATCTGGCAAGTATTTGAAAGCAAAACATACCTGATTTTTCGAATTTCCATTCCGTTTAACATATCTTATAAATTCTTTCTTTGTCGTATCACGTATTAGAACAAGATCAAGAAGCCCATCGCATAAATGTCCATATTTAGACAAACCTTGTGGTGCAAAGTCCCATAATGATGCATTTGTTAAAACTAAAACTTGTAAATATGGATTACGAATAGTTTTCCATTCAGGTGATGGTGCTCTTTGTGACTGGATAAAATTATGTTTTGATGATGATTTTTTGCGTCTTGAATTTGACAATGGCTGATTTAAAATTGAATCATTGCTTGCATTATTTAATGATGTTATTGATGGACGCTTTTTTATTATTTGTATTGGATTATCATCAAATGCCAGTACTTGATCATTATTAGTATCATCAGTGGGTTGTATACCACAAACAGGACAACTATTGAAATTAGAACAATATGAGTTCAGAGTCAAGTTAAAGTGCCCGCAATTCAGACCATCAAACAGAATTCTTTTTTTCGTTTTATTTGTTATAGCTGGATAGAGTTCGTTGAGTCACCTAGAAGAAGAGTTGATTTTAGAATTTTAAAAGTCAGTTTTAGATAAAAGATTTCGAAATACTGCAATTCTGAAAATAGGCAAAAATGAATGAAATTTTCAGAAATAAATAGGGTTTTCTGCTTTATTGCTTTTATTGCTTTATTCTTTAAATTTAACAGCTTTTAGAGTTTAAAAACTAGATTTATGGACAAAAGAACGGGAGCATATAAGCTATAGAATCGTCCCATTTTTGTTTTTTGCTCAGAATGGTCATATGAGAATCAGAAAACTATAAACATATGATTTTAGGTGCTTTTGAGTGGCTATAGCCGTTGCAATCCAGATAGGATCTTCACTGGAAAGTTGACATTACAGAGCACCATTGAAATCCTTTTCATGCGCTATTCTTTGACACTATGGGAGCATATAAACAAATGAACGCATAATTAGAAAGCTCTTTCAATTCTCTACAGACTGGTCTATTCACAATATCTTCACTGATTTGAAACACAGTCTAGGATCTATTATAGATCATTTAAGCTAACATTTTTCGAAAAAAAAGTTTTTTTGCTCACAGGCATGTTTAGAGACTAGATGATATATTGACAAGCATGTGTGATAAGAATATGATAGTGTATTATAAATGTAACAGTGTTTAATCATGAGGATTTGACAGGAAAGGAAAAAAGTTAAGCATACAGTGGATCCAAAAACTTTTCATTCACCTTTCGTTTTTATTTTTCTCGTCGACTATAGTAGCTAGAAAAA